GTATGCAGCTCTGATTCCAGTTTTCAAGAGGCTTAGTGATGCCATGGTGATTGGTTTTCCTGACTGGTTAAGTTGACCCGTAATCATGTAAAACCCTCAGGATGTTGAGGAGTTGACTTAGACCAGGCGTTGTAACTATGCTTAGCACTCACCTGTGTCAGCTCACCAATCCTTTATAGCAGTTCTGGTGTGTTCTGTCAGTCCAATTTTACTGGAGGATACAGAGATTGGAGCGCAGAGGGTGGCCACTTACAGCCAGTGACTTGGCTGGAGTTGAATGATGCCCTGTGTAACCTCAGAACCTGAGCTCTAGAATATTCTATAGTAGAAGCACCACAGAGCACTTTTGTTACTTGTTTCCTGAAAGCTCGGTGGTGACCTAAAGTAACAGAATTTACTCATTTCTTGTGAGGAAATGGATAGTAGAGTTATTACCTTGATATATTCTTTTTTTTTTTTTTGAGACAGAGTCTCGCTTTGTTGCCCAGGCTAGAGTGAGTGCCGTGGCGTCAGCCTAGCTCACAGCAACCTCCAACTCCTGGGCTCAAGCGATCCTGCTTCCTCAGCCTCCCCAAGTAGCTGAGACTACAGGCATGCGCCACCATGCCCGGCTAATATTTTCTATATATATTAGTTGGCCAATTAATTTCTTTCTATTTATAGTTAGAGACGAGTCTTGCTCAGGCTAGTTTCGAACTCCTGACCTTGAGCAATCCGCCCGCCTCGGCCTCCCAGAGTGCTAGGATTACAGGCGTGAGCCACCACGCCTGGCCTGATATAGTGTCTTTGATTCCTTATAACCTTTTTCTTCACAGCCAACAGTGATTGCTTAATTATTGAGCACATGGTTTTTAGTAACGGGAGCTGAAATAAACTAAGTGAGGATTAATCAAATATTTGTGTTTTACATATAAGCATTTATATTCATTATGTATATTAAACTGATATATTAATACACATCAACCTCATGAATTACCTGTTTGCCAACTAGACTTTACTCCTAAATGCAGTGATTCCCAACCTTTTTGTCACCAGGGACTGGTTTCATGGAAGACAATTTTTCCATAGAACTGGGGGGGAGGCAGAGCTCGGCTGCCTGGTTCCTAACAGATGGCAGACCGGTACCCAGGGTTGGGGACCACAGCCTAAATATATATATTTCCACTACTTAATAGCCAGAAAATGTGTTGGGTCTTTGTGTATTAAAAAGATAAAATGACTATGTTTAAGAAGAATCTGAAGTTATTTAAACTGAATATGCGTGTTTGTGCCAAATGACTTTCTAAACTCTTACTTTTTGTGCATCCTTTTCAGAAAGCCATACCTCAGAAAAGGAGTTGATAATGATTGCCGGAGGGAATCAAAGCATTCTTCTCTGGATGGACAAAGAGGTGAAAAATAAATCTCTAGCTGTCCCATAACTTGTTGTTTTAAGCAAAATGAAGAGTTCTAGAATCCAGGTTTTAGTGAATTCCAAAATCCTCAGGTTACTAGGCTGACTTTTTGGGGAATAACTGGGCATTTCTGATCCTTTATTGTTTTAAATTCATCAGTATTTCTTACACCAAAAATTCAGAATTATGGCCGTTGGACGAAATGATCATCAGTTATGATTTCC